ACAGCTGTGGGACTTGGTCCCTGGCCACTGTACCCCCAGTTGCTGCCCCCTCTGTGGAATCGGAGTTGTTTTCCCTGTGGGAGCGGCTGCCCTTCTTGGCTGGTGGTGTACGGCTTCCCCTGAGGGCCCAGCTCTGCAGGGTGTGTAGGTGAAGGCTGCTCCAGGGGCTGGGGCTCGAGGCCCAGGGTGGCCATGCGGGTTTGCTTTGGTCTCACTGAGCGGCCACAGGCTTCAGTGTGGGGAGACTGAGAAAATGTGAGGGAACAGAAGGATGAGAAACTTGATTTTGAGTTTTTTAAGAGTGTTGGCTCCAGAACCAGTGCGAACAGAAACTTAGATTTCTAAACAACCCTTCTCCCAAGAAGTCATTTCCTGCTCATCCATCCATCCATCCACCCACCCACCAAATATGTAACAAGTGTCTTCTGCCTGCCAGCCTCTGCTGCAGGCAGGGTGAAGCAGCCGTGCACAAGAGAAGCAACTTTCCTGTTTGCCCAGAGTTCATGTTCCAGTGGGGAGATGGAACACAGGCCAGTGTGTGTGAGACACCATTCCCCTCTGCCCTCTGCCCCGCACACCTGCAGGGGAGGGGCCCAGCCACTCTTCTGTGCTTGGCCGTGGAGACATCCCCAGCCCACCTCTGCTTTCTTTGTCTTGTCTTTTCTTAAGCCCCAAGTTAGCGCAAAGTCACGACTGGATCCCAGATTTGGTTTGGGAGTTACAGCCCTGCTTCCGTGCCCGCTCACTTCTTCTGGCTCATTCAGCGGTGGCTGCTGAGCATGCCCGTGCCCCCCGCAGCCTGGAGCACGGCCTTGGCTCGAGTCCCAGGGCCCCAGCCCAGAGCCCGGCACATAGCTGGGCTCAGACTGGGCTTCTCAGCTGTGTGTGCAGACAGGCCTGTGGCTCTGGGGGAGCGTGTGCTGGTCACAGCCCTCAGAGCCATGCCACACTCAGAGGCAGGCTGACAGCTGGGCAGAACCAGCCTCAGAGACAGATACCTCCCTGGCTTCTGTGTGGGACCTGCAGCATCTCTGCAGGGCAGGCCTGGTGCGTATTTGTTGTGCTTCAGAATATAGAGAATGCAATGCCGAGCCCTGCTGGGTGTAGCTCGCCCTATCCACTGGACGTTCCAGCAGTCCTGCAGGAGGAGGAGGAGAAGAGCCCCAGGCACCTTGCCACTCAGAGGGGCCAAAGCAAACACTGGGTGTCTCAACCAAGCCTGCATTCTTGAGCTCATTAGACTGGATGAAATGAGCCCAATCGGATGGAGACAGGGAGGGGACAGAGGTCGTGGCCCTGTGCACAGCTGGGCAGGGCAGCCTGCTTGGAAGAGGGGCTCTGTACTTGGCTGGTCTCCTTACCTCTGCTGTCCGGATTCAGCCCCTTCTACAGCCCAGTCCGCCCCCAACCCTGGGCACTCACAGGGACTCATTAACAAGCGGGTGGACAGGCCGTGGCAGAACCAGTCAGTCGGCAGGAGCGGATTACGTGAGACACAGAGCTGATGTGACAGACTGCTGGGCCAGGGAACCGGAGGGGTGGGGCTTTTGTAACCCAGGGGGGTCAGCCAAGGCCAAAGCAGTTCTGAGGCATGGGGTGGGAAGCACGGGTGGCTTTGTTTGGGCCTGTTGTCCACGAAAGGTGGGCAGGGCATGCCAGCGTCTTGGCCGTCGTTCTGCCTCTTGACTGGATGACCTTTGGCTTCCAGGCTGACGAGCAGCACATTGTTGTGAAGCCCATGGGCAGCTCGGAATCACTGCGGGAGGCGCCACACACTGTGCCCACATCCACGGCTGTGCACAGAGCCTGGGAGGACGATGTCACGGAAGGGGCAGGGGCAGACGTGTCTGGGACCCAGTTCTGACAGGCTGCGGAGCCTTGGACAAGTTGCTCACCCTCTCTGGATTCATTTCACTGTAAAGAGAAGATGATGTTACTTTTGGGTAGAACTGGTCCCAAAGAAAATGCACTGGAAGTGGGAAAACTTAGTTCAAGTACTATGCACGTGGAAGTGTATTTTAGGTGGTACATCCAGAGCCTCAGTGATGCGCGTGTTAGCAGTTTTGGGACCTGTCGGTAGCAAGTCCTGAGACACAATCAGGAGGAGCGCGGGAGGCCAGAGAGTGGTGTAGCCCAGAGGCCACAGAGGGGGCGGGCTGGGGGGGCCCTGTGTGTGAGCGCAGGGCCAGGATGGTTCCTGCAGGCAGCCTCTGCGGCCAGCCCCGTGGGGGCCCCTGCTGGTGTTGGTGGCATCGTAGTCACAAAGGCCCTGTGCCGATGTGGGGGCTCTAACTGGGGTGGAACATAATCTGTGAGCTGGCAGAGGAAGAGGGTTTGAAGTGAGTTTTTGTATGTAGGGGACAAGATCAGTGCAGAAGGCTTGGGCGGAAACCAGAGGGCCCGTGGGTGTACCGGGCCTGGCACACCTGTGCTGTGCCCCTTGCAGAGCTGTGACCAGTGTAGTGAACCAGGGTTGCCGTGTGACTGTTGCCCTCGTCCACTGGCAGCCTTGTCACCCAGAAGGGACCTTGGCAGGGAGGCTGGTGGAGCTCTTGTTCCCGTATGGTTGGCATTCTGTGGATTGGATTGCTTTCCGGGCCCCTCCCTGCCCCCAGGAAGGGTGGAGCCGGACACACACATACACACACTGGGGTTGTTGAGAGGATTAAGTGAATTTGTGTATGGATGAGCTGAGCCCAGCCTGTGGCCTGTAGCTATTACCCAAATATAAATATCATGACTTGCATTATTCATTTAAAGAATCTATAAAGTTTAAAATTCAAGGGCTGGCATTGTCCTCACCAGGCCCTCCTGCCTCCCACCTTCATACCTTTCCCCGAGCCTCCCCTCCGCCTTTCAGTTCCTTCCCTGTTCTCTGCTCCTGGGTGGAGGTCAAATGTCAGCTTCTCTCAGTCCCCCCCAAAGGGAGTGCACACCCCTTTCCTCGTGTGGGTCAGCGTCAGCCATGGTTTCTCACTCAGAGACTGAATTCAGCCCCTGGCAATGAGCTGTCTGCTCAGCGCCTATTGGATGAACCCAATTGTAATGGAAAAGCCCCGTGCAAATGGAGTCAATGGAAAGGCCATAAGAAATACACATTTGAAGCCATGGGTCTTATTTGAACCCCCAGACATGGCCACCGTTTGGACTAGCGAGGTGGGAGGAGAGTCGAGGGGTTGAAAATGTAGCCCTTCACCTAGCCACGTGTGTGTGCACTCAGACAGGGCTCGATCAGTGGGAGCGGTTGTGTTCTCAGACTCTCTCTGGTCCGAGCACCTCTCTGTTTTTCAAGCTCCGGTCAGTGTTTATAGAAACTGAGGCCCACGGGGTGAAGGTGGGGTTGTAGTAGCTGTGAGGTGGGGCAGTTGTTTCCATGGCAGAGAAATGACCTGTGGCATTTTCTCCCTGTCACGGACGTTGACTGGCTCTGCCAGGCCAGCACTTGGTCAGTTTTTTCTCCTTTCAGGCTCAGGCCTCCCGTCTTCTCTGAAAGCACCTGTGGCCCGGTCTGCATCACCAGCTTTCTGTGACCTGAGTCAGGGACCGGGGAGCTGCACCCTTGGGATTCTGGCTGAGTCTCAGCCTGGGCCCTGCTCTCCCACGTGTGAAATGGGGGGATGGATCAAACAGGGACAAGGGTTGGACCATGTCCCCAAGAGGCTGAGCAGAGGGACTGGGAGTGGGCCCCGACCTCTCAGTTGGGGCCAGCCTCCCTCCCGCACACCTGACTCCTCAAGTGTCCAAGTGCTCCCCTCTTCAGGTTTGGGGACCTGCTTGATTGTTTCCTTGGCCACAGGCCCCAACACTATTTGCTTTTCTGAGCTCTGGGCGCTTGGTCCTTCACCCTCAAGCATCAGAGGGCCCTTGGTCCTGAGTAAGGAGCTGGTTTCTGAACCTGTGGGGTATCAGCGCCTTCTTGACAGGGTGCAGATGGCATTGAGGCTCATCCATAGGGCTGAGTGTCCTGACCCTGGGAAGCCATGCAGGTGGCCGAACAGTGTATCTGTCGGAGCGTTAGCTGAGCTGGCTGCCACCTGCTGGGCATCTCCCGGGTATCACTGTTGTGCTTATATGATCTCAATGATACCAGCTGCACATCACTGTAGTCCCTGTGCTTAGGGCTTCTGACAGCTCACTGCATTTAACCTTTGTCTCAGCCCCATGAGGCAGGCAGTCGGGGGGCTACAGCCAGTCTGCAGATGTGGAGAGCAAGGCTGAGCGACATGCAGAGCCGGTAAATGACCACGTCAGGACTGAAGTCCAGCCCCATTAACCACACAGGCCTTTCTCTTAGCCGCAGACCATGTATCTCTTTCAGTCCTCAGACCAACCCTGTGAGGTGGCTGTTACAACCCCTCTTTGGCAGAAGCTGCAGCCGAGATTAAGAGCGGTTAAGAGACCTGCCAAAAGTCGCCAATGAGTGGTTGAGCCAGGTCTGAGCACAGGCACCTTCCGTCCCTGTTTCTGTTTGGTTCTGACAGCAGCCCTGGGAGTCAGGTGCTGTGGCCTCTTGTCATAGAGCAGGGGCCGGGGCTCAGGGAGACTGGGTAATGTCCTCAGGGCCACACAGCCAGGGAGCATGACAGGCAGATGGCACCCAAAGTTGACGCACTCTTCAGTGGCAATCCATTCCTGAACTCCGAGTGATCTTTCTTGGATTTTACCCTAATACAGAGGGCTGTGTTAGGGTTTCCACCGCTGGAGCCGCAGACTCTGTGCAGATCAGTGTGGAGGGTCAGCAGTCGGGAGAAAAGAACCTGCTGTGATGGGCTCGTGGGCTTGAGTGCACGGAGGTCGCTTACTGTAGACCCCAGCTGCACCCTGGCCTGCTCCGTCAAGGCCGCCCAGCACAGTGGACACATTTAGCTTCAGCAGAGTTGCGGCTGGTGGGTCCTGGCCTGGGGCCAGCACTGACGGAGGACCAATCCCGGCTGGGGGAGGAGTCTCAAGGTGGGGACTTTATGAATGGCATGTGGGTGGGTGTGGGCTCAGAGCACAGCCAGGAGCAGAGTGTGCCAGGTCCCGGCCTCAGACCTGGAGGAGCTGTTGGGTAAAGCTTGCTGATTCTGGTTTATTTATGAATTTTAAAATTTAAATTAATTTTAAAGTTTTTAATAAAGATTTTATTTACTTTTAGAGAGAGGGGAAGGGAGGGAGAAAGAGAGGGATAGAAACATCAGTGTGTGGTTGTGTCTCGCTTACTGCATACTGGGGACCTGGCCCAAAACCCAGGCAGGTGCTGTGACAGGTAATTGAACCCATGACCCTTTAGTTCGCAGGCTGGCACTCAGTTCACTGAGCCACACCAGCCAGGGCTAAACTTTAATTGGCTTAAAAAATTACAAAGAATCCATTACTTTCCATAGCTATTCAGGGCTGCATGTCTCAGTTTCTCGGTGCAGAAACGTCAGTGTGAAAAGGAGAGACTTGGGGAGAAGCTAGAGCAAAGCAGAGGGGCACAGGGAGGCTTTGGGGTGAGGGGAGGAGTTGCAGAGAAGGACCAGTGGACATTTCTGTGGGGAAATCGAATGTCACTTTCATCTCGTCTTGTAAAGGCTCATCAGAACTTCCTCGCGCTGGCCAGTCACATCCCCTTATCACTTTTCCAGCCAGCTTTGAGAATCCGAGTGTTGGACGGAGAACTGATAAGGGTATGTGACTGACACTCACAGCCCCCAGAGGCCCAAGGGTCACCTGCGTGTTGGGGACACCTGATGCTCCTGCTCTGGATGCCCAAGGACAGCAGGGGGCTTGAGGAGGAGGGTGCCCCAGGCATCGGGGGCCCAGTCCTTGCTCTCTGCCCCAGAATGTTGGAGCCACCTTTGGGTTTTGTGCTCAGTGAAGCCTCTACTTGGTTCACAATTCTCTCTGCGACTGGTGTAGGGTCTCCCCTGCAAGGGCGGAGCTCAGGTGGTGGGGGGCACTTATTCTTGAGGCTTTCTTGTAATTTTTGAGAGGTGGTTAAAGAGGCCAAAGGGCTTTGGAGTTTTTGGCAATCTTAAAAAAAAAAAAAGGCAGGAATTTCCATCTGATTTGAGTGAAAGTTTATTTCAGGCGTTTTCTTCAGCAAATGATGGATACTCTCTAAACCCAGTTTATAGGAACCATATGTTAGGATAGAATGCCTCATGGCACTAACTGAACTTACAGTCTTTTTGTTGCATTAGGGATAGTTATTTATTATGCCACTGATTCAGAATGATCTTTTAGACTCATAAGTGACCATAGCGAACTCAGTACATGCCTGCTGAGTTGGCCAATGGCAGAGGTTGAGTGGCAGGTAAGCAGGTCTAGCTACATCTATGCGTGAGGTGGGGTCAGTTGTGATGCTCTCATGACCGCAGGTGCTCCTGCTTCCTGGGCCGTGAACACAGGTTACACACAGTGGACCAATCTCAGCTGAACAGGCACTTTTTTTCTTAGTTAAGTGTTGAGTTCCTTAAAGAATAAAGTAGAGTTTTAAAGGTAGATTAAAATGCTGCATTCAGTCCGTGGTTCTCCCCCTTAGCTGCATGCTGGCTTCACCTGGGCATTATGAGTGACCCAGACGTGCAGCCCAGGATGTCCGAGTCTGTGGGAAGAGCGGGCTGGGAGCGGAGTGAGAGTATGAGCCGTGTCCCGGGGTGCTCCTGAGGCCCCTCCCTGCTCTGGTGCGGCCGTGTGCCTCCCGGGCTGCCCGACAAGATGCCCGCACGAGGTCCCCAGAGGTTCTGCCTTTGCTGGTCTGGGTGTGGCATTGTTGCTGGGCCCAGATGACTGACCCTGGTGTGCAGCTGTGATACCCCCTGACGGATATGGGGGTCCGAGTGCCCAGTTTCTAGTTCTCACCCCTGGTATGACTCCAGGTAAATATGCAGCCTTTCCTATGTTTCCTTTTATGTTAAACGGAACCTGTGTGCAGTGGGTGAGTGATGTCTGTTTAGCACCCTTCCTTCCCAAAAGGTGGCTGAGGTCCCTCATTCTTTCACAAGGTTGCAGTTACTCAACGTGACCAGACCCGGAGTCTCCACTGCTAAGCAGGAGAGTGGAGAGGGCCCAGAAGGACACACAGTGGGCTGGCAGGGGCTGCCGGAGGGCAGAGACCCAGCCAGCTGCTTGGGACAGAAAGAGGCCAGGGAGGGGCTGGCTGGCTGCATGGGGGAGTGGCCGTGTGAAATGGGACCCGGAGCCCCCATCCTCCCGTGGGACCTGTGGTGCTGGAGCTGCCCCGTGGTCACCTGGTGAGATGCCACTGTTGGGCTCAAAGGGGCAGAAGCAGAGCATTTATCTCTGTGATCAGTTCTCCAGGGTTGTAGTTCGTTTTCACGGTTCTCATAACTGTGCAGTGTGTTTCTAATTTTTTTTTGGATGCGTTTGAAGCTGTGCATGTGGAGAGACAGACAGCTTGTATTTACCTTTGGGCTGCAAGAGTGTCAATGATTAAGAGTACAGCTCTCGTTTATTTAAGACTTACTGGGACATCTCTGTGCAAAGCCCTTTAAAATATTAATAACTCTTTAATTCACTTTTAAATTATGTCACTTAATGGTCACACCCACAGTTTGAACTCAGCACTACTCTTATGTCCACTTGTTATTGGGGACACTGGGGTCTGAAGAGGCCAGTTAGCATGCCCAGTCACATAGTAGGGGGCAGAGTCAGAGTCAGGACCCAGGACTGTCAGGCCCTGTGGGTGCCGTGCTCCCTCCCTGCACTGCCCTGGTTGGCCGGGGGCACATGGTGCAGTTGGACCCTGGTGTGCACATGTGGGACAGGCCTGAGGCGGGATGGACCTTTTTACCTGCAAACATCAGCTGATCCCCAGGCCTGAGGAGCAGGTTTTGGGGTCATACACATTTTTCAGATGAGAACACTTAATCCTGAGGACACATAGCTGCGAAGTGGGGGGAGCGAGTCCAGCTTTTCCAGGTCCAAGGTCCACCCTCCTCTCCAGCTCAGCCTGTAGGGACTGGCAGGGCACTCGGTGGTAGGGGGGATGGGGTGGCTCTCAAGGCCTGTATGTGAGTGACAGCCCCACACACTCATGGGCACAGATGCAGGGTCGACCCACACGGCCCACCCTCCATGAAACGCAGCCTTGAGAGAGTTGGGTTTGTGAATTACATTCCCAAGAGGAGAAGATGTGTGGCCATGTCTCTGTCCTCAGGACACATTCACCGCCACACGCAGACTCAATGTCCATGGCAGCACTGATGAACCTCCTGCAGTGTTAGAGCCTGTGGTGTACACCCACGTACAGGCCCAGGGGGATCTGGTGCTGGACTCAGCCTCAGCTTCCCCGTTCCTGTCACTGCACAGCTGGCCTGGGGTCAGGGAGCGGAGGCCTCTGCAAGGCACTGTCTGCAGGGGCCCGCTGGGGCATGCAGGCACCTCTGCCCCCTTCTCCGGGGCTGCTGCCTGATTGCCCATGAAAAGGAGGCTTACTTCTGGCGGGAAACCCCTGAGGCAGCGGGATTTCAGAGTGAGTAAGCAATTCCAGGGCATTAAGGGGAATGCAGGCTCATCTGGAGCACACAAAGCTGCCGGGCTTAGAGTGAAGAGGAGGAGGGAGCCTGGGCTCACTCCGGGGCCAGGCATGCAGCCTCAAATTAAATCCCTGGAGGAGAACATCCTCATCTTTATGGATGGCTGCAGGAAGAGTCTGCCTTTCATAAGGGAACCAGGGACAGCAAAGCCAGCTGCAGGAAATGCCCTTCATCCTGGATGGAGATCAAAGCAGTGCAGATCTGAGGCCCCTCCGGCCCCCACCCCTCACCCCATGCAACCTCTGGGTGAACTGGGTGAAGGGCCCATGTCTGTGGTCCCTGACGTCCATCCTGGCCGGGAGACAGCAGTAGGCAGCAACGCCTGTCACTCCCCAGTTCACAGACCACTCACATGTTTTTTGCTTTGTTCAGTTTGAGTGATGAGGAAGTTTTACTGATGAGGAAACCAAAGCCCACAGAGGCCTCTGTCCCCACCCAAATCACAGGGCCATCGAGCAGCACCATAGGCCTCTAGTTCAGCATGCCCGAGACCTGCCCCCTCTCCAGGGCACTGAGTCTCCTGCAGCACCAGCCGGCAGCCCCCAGGGCACGTCAGTGTGTGTTTGTCTGCACAGACAGACGGAGAAAGTGAGATTCAGCAGGGAGGGGCGCCACATGGGTTAGCCCAGTACCGGTCACAGGTCAGACTGACAGGTAATACCAGTGAATGGGCCCTGTGCTCTCTCCTTGGCCCCCCAGGTCAGGGGGGCAGACAACCAGAAAAAGAATCACCGTGACAGCGGCTGGCCAGCCCCTGCATCTTGCTCCTCAGCACTCTGGCGCCACGGGCAGGCTGGAAGCCAGCACAGCTCGAAGACCCTGCCCTCCCTTGCCCCTGTGGGTGGAGGCAGGGGCTTGGAGGAGCCGCCCGCTTGCTGAGGCTCCCTGCCCATCCAGCATGTTGCCCCTGCAAGGGCCCTGGCACATCGATGGGAAAGTGCCACCTCCATCCAGGGAGCAAGTTCCCCGGCAGTGCGCACACAGCTCATGCTTGCTGGAAACGTCTTGGGCCCTGACAAAATCCTGCTGGGGACATGGGATGTATAAATTTGAGGCATTTCCCTCCAAGGGCAGGAAGGCGGACTGCCTCCAGATCTAATCTTGGGTCCCTAATTCAGAGTCCTTTGCCCAGTCTGTTGTAGGAAACAGCTGAGCCTGCAACAGGGAAAAACGGACGTGAGCAACCAGTGGTGCAGCGCAGCACCAGGCACGGGTGGGCACTGACAGCTTTAGCTGTGGTGACACGTCACTGCCAACTTCCAGTGACTGGGCTGCATTGCTCTGCAGGTGCCTGGCCCACCTCTTCTGTCACCAGCAACTCATACCCAGGCCTCAGCCTCTCATCCTACCCCAGCTGGTGTGGCCCCTGCTGGCCTCAGCAGCAGGACAGCAGGCTCTGCCCTGAGGCTCATCTCTGGTCACACCTGTGGTCATGTGTGCACCTCGCTGTCCTGCGTCCAGGTGTTAGCAAGCTCTGGAGCCAGCTGGTTGTCATCAGCAAGACTGGTTTGTAGGGCGGTCATTA